AAACAGCATGATTATTTAAGAAATTTTTTAATGTGGCAGGAAAGACAAAATGGAATGATTTCAAGAGTTTCACAGTGGGGAGTCTGGTTCCTACTTATGCGACATAATTAAACTGGTGTAATATAACACTGTATACAGCGTGTCTTCAGTTACCATGTTCCAGGGAAAACTGAAGAATGATTGCAGACAAAAACCGAATATCATAGGAAAAAGAGAGTTGCTCTTTCAGGAGTTGTGGATAATCATTGTTATCTGATCAGTCCAACAGTAACACTATTAAAACAGTAATTTTGCATCTTGTAACTATTTCATCTGTTTAACACAGAATTTCAAAGCATGATCACTCTGATGAACAGTGGATTGCATGAATATGCAATCTTCAACAAAGTTATATCAGGCTTTTCACCCATATCCATTGTATATATTATATCCTGAAACTTAAATTAAAATATTCATAGCTCACTGGAGAGAAATGAAAAACTGATTAACTTAGGTATTTGGGGAAAATGTGTAATCAGAGAAATAAGAAAGATGCAGTCTGGACTGGGAATGCATTGCTGATAGGTGAAAGTAAGGAGGAGGTGCCCAAAGCATAGCTCCCATGACACACTGTGGTGGCACTTCTAACTGCACTGTTTGCTTTCTCAGATACGAGAATTCTATTAAAAGTGAAAAAAAGGAAATTGAAATTAGGAGTAGGAGAGAAGTTTGGTTTTGTATAGCTTTTTTTTATGTAAAATGACTTTTCCTAAAGAATTTCCAAACAGTTACATATATATATATGACCAAAAGGTTCATATTTTTAGTGGTTTTAACTGTAGGTATGTAGATGCATACATGGTGTATTTGCTTTATAGTAATGGAAATACAGAATCCATTTTTTCATGAGAAGGGTTAGAGAATCTCAAAGTCCTGAAAATATATTGGCTGTGCTTTAATGGAAACAAAAAAAAAAAAGCATTCAAAAGAAGAAATGGTACTTCAGATCATTCTGTTGAGATGATACTTTAAAACTTTCTGTGATTTGAGAATTAAGATCCCCTGGCATACTGAGATGTTGTTGCTGTTTGAAACATCAAAGCATCGAGAAAAAAAGCTCTGCCATGAATGTAGACCTCATATGTAGAGGCCACACAGAATACCACTTTCACGGTTTCAGAGTCTGGAACTTTAAAACATAAACAGCTCATTAGATGCCCAAGAAGTTTCTGCTGATTTGCAACTCCTTACAAAATGTGGCATAGATTTGCAGCATGTTAAGAAATATTTCTAATTCAGATAATAATGTGGTTGCTTATGTGTTTGGGTTTTTTGTATAGCAGTAAGTTCTTGAACTTGACTCCTCAAAGTTTCCTTAAAGTATACAACCACACAAATCTGAAAAATCAAGTCACAGAATAGCTAAAGGAGATTGGGTTTGAACTAGAGAGGATGTTTAATATTTTGCTAACTCAGAAATAATCCAGTGTGTTAAGCATCATGTCCTTTTTACTTTTGAATTTTTTCCTGATATCCTCTGCAGCAAAGGTGATCTCTGTGATTTTCAGCAATTGAATACACCATAAATTTTGGAGCATCACTGTCCTAACAAAACTGAATAAAAACCCTAGACATATTTTGAGCTCAGAGAAAGAGATGCTGACAACTCATAATGCCTGGGAAATTCAGCTGCAGTGTCTGACTGTGCTTTAGTGCTTTCCCTGTCTGTCTTGCTGCTTTGCGTGAGCTTATTGTCCCTTGAGCTGACATGACAGAAATCAATTGGAGTCACCAGTTTTCTGTTCAGCATATTCACCTAAACTGCTGATAGCCAAACTATTTTAGGGGCAAAGCAGCCTAATCACCACAACTAAATTCAAACTTCAGATTGTGAGTGAGCATCTTGAGCCAGTTTGCTGCATGAAATTTTGTCTTTCTGACCACATCCACAATGTTTCCTCTTCTGGTTTCCATACCTCCATAACTACCACAAGGTTTGGCTAAAAAACATTTAAAAAAAATCTGCAAAAAAAATACTCAGACGTTAATACATTTAATGACAAGATTGAACAGCTTGAATTGCCTTCCATTCATTCTCACTGTGTTTATTTCTGTTCCCAAGGCATAAGACTGCTAACTGGAACATCGACTGTTCCTTATTATAGTCTCCAGTACCTTCCACTGCAGATCATTAGCAGAATGGTTTTCTCCTTCTGTTTGGTGATTACAGTTTTTGTGTTCGGTGCCATCCATATGTTATGATGGTAGTTTTATGTTCAAAGTAAATAGAGGTTCATGTATCTCTTCTTTCATGAATCTGCCATTTCCCTGATTGTTTCATTATTTTCAGATGCCTCACAGTTGTGAATGGAGCTGATTTATAGGCCTGGACAGGCTGTTTAAATCACATGTTGAGGGCAAGTAAAGATAATCTGAGTTTCACAAGCTGACTGACACTAATGAATAGTTATAAATGCTTTTTTTAGCTGAGGAATATTTGAAAAGAATGAAGGAGAGAAAGAGAGAGATCTGCAAAGAGGGTTTTGTTTTTTTTTTCTTATATAAGCTTCTCTGGAGCCCATATATCGTTAGGAGAAATGTGATATGAAGATGACTCAAGGAAGTCAAGGTGATTTAGGGAATTAATTGTTGAAAGGGTTAAAATTCCTATTATGCATTTCTTAATGGAGCAGTAGAAGCTACAGACATAGGAAAGAGATAGAAAAAGTAAGTAATGGAGGTCCTGAAAAACAGTTCAGTTCTACTGAGAAAATAATATAATTGTCCAACCTCAATTGTGCCTGATCCAAGGGACCTGAAGACAATATGTCAATGACATTCAACGTGATAAGAAAGCAAAGAAGATTTTTAACAATGAAATTTCTGCCTTGTCATTTTCCAGGGGGAAAGAAAAAAAAGACCAGGTGAAAACAGAGCAATGATAAAAAAGATTATGGCCCCTAACATGCCATATATTTATCCTCTTGAAATGACTACTAGTTAGTACCTCAGCATAAAAAAAAAAAAGAAAAAAAACCAACAATTAGATGATCATAGATTTTAATTGCAGGAAAAACGGCAAAACTCTGTTACTGAGGAAAAAATAAAACTTCTCTCCTATAAATTCCAGTTACATAAGGTTATGGGCAATTGCACTCTTGAAGAAATCTGTGACAGAGAGTACGCACTAGAAAATATCTATGAAATATGATTCTCATTCATAGAGCTTTCTGAACTGCAGAACACCCACAGAGCAAAATCAGCTGCAGATTGGTCTTTCTACATCACGGAAATAATAGAAAATAGGACTGGAGGGGAGTGTGAGTGGCTATCTAATCTAACCTCCGTGCTAAGGCAGATGAGCAATAGCTGAAACTTTCTGGCAGACTAGCAGAGCCCATGCAATGTGATAAACATGTTTGGGGTTATTTGCTTGTTTGTTTGTTTGGTTTTTTGTTTGCTTTTAAAGATGTGTTCCCAACTGTATGCAAAAATCCATATTCTTAAAACAGCTAATGCCACCACAGGGCACTCAACTTTATTTCTGCATGCATTTATTGACCGTAAACCAAAACAACACTCAAATTTAAATTTTGGGTGCTGCAAAAGTTGATTCAGGGAAGAAGGAATTCAGTTAATTAAACTTTTCTCACCAGGTGTTCCTTGTGGCAGGACTTTGAAAATTCTGCGGCATCTATTCAGTTGCACAGATAGGCACTGAGGGTACGGGAGGAAAACAGCACCCGGCACTGCATTTTGTATTTTAAAGGAAACTTTCTGCATTGAAGAGAACATCCACGCCAGCAGAATATACCTTTCACAGACTGCGTTCTTGCTATTTGTGGCATGTGTATCTGTCCTTAAATGTATTCACAGAGATGAAAATGTTCCGCATTGTTGTATCTGCATTCAACAGATGGAGCATTTATCTGCATCTGAGGAAAAAAAAAATAAATCACAGAGCAGGAACGCGATGGGGGCTGATGAGAGTCTTCGGCTTTACGTTTATATACTCATACGTTAAAGATTACCCTGCCCTACCCTCCACTTGGGATAATTTCCGTGGGTTTTATGGCACGGAGGGCAGGGCGTGCGGTGCGGAGACGGGGGACCCCGCGCCCCCCGGGCGCCGCCCGCTGCCACCGCGGCCCCTCCCGGGGCAGCGTGCGCCCGCTCCGCGCCCACTCCGCCCCCGCGCTGCCTCCCGCCGCGGGCCCCCTGCGTGTTTTACTGGCTCTTGAGCTCTGGGTGCTATTCACGGAGCCTGTTCTTTGCTGGTCATTGAGATAAGATGCCTATTGTGAAATTCAACCAAGAAAAGTACTTCCTGACTGACTGTCAGGAGCGCTTACTCTCTCGAAACCGGCGCTGTTGGTTATGACGAGTCCCCTTCAGAAGTCGTAGGGAAGCTCGCCGGGTCGGGGGGCAGAATTTTTTGCGCACCTATGAAAAATCTTTATCGTGACTTTCCTGTTCTCTTTCTCCACCGCTCTGCCTCTCACACACTTGGGTTTGGTTTTATTCTCCCCCCCCGCCCCCCGGCTCCGCTACTCATGCCCGATGTAACACCCTTGCCCACGGCCAGGGTTATACCCCTGCCCATGCCCGATGCCACACAAACCCTTCTCATCCCCGGTTTAACGCCCTGCCCGGTGTCACAGCCCTGCCCGTGACCCGTGTGCGCTTCTCTCCCTGTTTTTTTTCCCCTCGCAGCAGAAAAAGGTACAAGAGCTGACAGACAAAGCGCATCAGACGGCCACCGCTCGAGGACCGCGGCGCTACGCGCCTGCCAGGGGTCCGAGCGACTGCGGCAACTTTTTTTTTTTTCAGAATAATAATAAAAATATAATTATTTCAGGGCTTTTCCAGATCGCTTCGGGAAAAGCCCAGGGCGCCG